GTGTGTGTGTGTGTGTGTGTGTGTGTGTGTGTGTGTGTGTGTGTGTGTTTGACCCAAACTCCACCTTTTCATAAGGACATGGGCATACTGGGTCAGGGCACACCCTACTCACCTCAGTTTAACTTGCTTATCCCTGTAATGAGTATCTCCAGATAAGATCATATCCTGAGGTACAAGGGATTCAACTTCAACAGGTAGATGTTTTTAATTAAGTTTATTGGTGCATTTTAGAATTACATAATGACCACAATCATCATAGGGAATTTGTACCTGTGCATGATACATCTGGATTCTTTTTTTCCCCACCACTGTGGAAATCACTGTGGAGATTCCTCAAAAAACTAGGACTAGAGGTTCCATTTGACCCAGCTATTCCCCTTCTTGGTATCTTCCCAGAAGAATTAAAAGCATCATGCGACAGCAATATTTGTGCACCCATGTTTATAGGGGCACAGTTCGTAATAGCTAAATATTGGAAACAGGCCACATGCCCATTAACCAATGAATGGATAAAAAAGATGTGGTTCTTTTTATACAGTGGAGCAGTACTCTACCATAGAAAAGATAAGCCTGAGACATTTGTAGGTAAATGGATGCACCCCGAGACCATATTCTTATGTGAAATAAGTCGAACACCGTGTTCAAATATCACATGGTTTCTCCGATGTGAAAAACCCAAAGTGTAAAAACGGACCAAAATGCACAATTAATATTGGGAAATGGGAAGAAAATGTTCAAATGGGAAGAGGAACAAGGGCAGGGAGAGAAGGAAAAGAAAAGACAAGAAAAAAAAATAGGAGGAAAATGGAAACAAAGCTTTCTAAATAAGGAGGGGAGGAGGGGATGAAGGGAGCAAAGGAGAACGGAGAGAAGCAGCAGCAAGATGTATTCCACATCAGAACAAATTCCCTGTGGTGCATGTGGTCACTATATCTAAAATGTACCGCTAACATCAACAGTTTCTAAAATACATTGCGTAGTACTGGTTGTAGAGGAGGGAACTTCCGCTGGTTGGGGGGAAACGCATTCTGGAAAGGGGCGGCTACCCTCTTAAAGAGGATGGCTAGAGAAGACCACCAGAAAAAGTACCATTTAAGCCAATGCCTGTGACAGTGAAAATAATGAAAGAGCCAGTGATGAGGGCGTCCTTGGGGAAAGCAGCCTTGAGAGCAGGTAGTGGAAGCTGAGGCCCGGGGCGGGATCCTGTCTTGTCTTTGTAAAGAGCAGCAAGGAAGCCAGTATGGCAGGGTGAGCAAAGGGGACAGCAGGGGACACAGGACAAGTGTGCAAGCGCCAGGGTCGCGGGGCCTGGGGCTGCCATCGGGGCTGTCCCTTTTCCCTGAGGAGGAAGGAAATGAACGTACTGGCCGCTCTTTGTAGGCAAGACCCTGCTCCCGTCAAACCCCAGACTCCTGCCTGCCTGCCACTGGCAGCTTCCGAGTCTACTTCCTGACTCCCACCCGCGACTGACTCTTGATCTCCTTCTCTGCCTCCCACTCACTGTCAAGACCAGGCCGTCTCGAGTTCAGGGATTGGAGCCTTTTAGAGGCAAGTGCCCAGACGGCAGCCCTGGACCAATGCTACACTTAAACCTGGATACTGAGGTTTCAGTTTAGAAAACACAACTCATACATTAACATCTTGTGTCTTCAAAGAAAAACACGGTAACCGAGCTTCCAGTGATACAAGTGGCTTTTTGTTGAGACATGGAAGTTTGCACTTGGCGTGCTCTGGCACCACTAATGTGGTCTTTGCTGTTGTGTGCGTGCTGATAATTTGTCAAAGCCTGGCTGGGGCGACTTGACTCGCATGCTGGCAGAGGGCGCTCTGCGTGCCCACCGTGGCATGCGTGCCGTAGGTTCGCCACCGCTGGTCCGGTTCCTAAATCCTGCCGCCCTCCATTCCTGATTTCATCCACTTCCTAGCCCTCACCAGTACTGACGCGGACTCGACTTCCTACCACCCTCCAGTGAAATTCCTGACCCCACTTCCTGACTTCTACCACTGTCCATCCTAACTCTCTCTACACTCTGCTCAGCCTCACGACTTCTGCTCCCTTAGGGCTCCCCCCAGCTCGGGCTCCGCCTCCTGCTTTCTCTTCAGCCCCCCAGCTCTGGCGACCCAACTGGAAGGGTCCCTATCCAGATGGCTCATGTTAAAAGTAAACCAGACTCCGTCTTGCAGGTCAGCCAGATACTGCCCAGCCTGGCACACCCTGCAGACCACAGGGCAGAGAGCTGCCTCAGGCTCTCCGTCCACTGCCAAGACTTGTCCAGTTACCGTGTCAGGGTCAGAGCATGAGTGAGTTAGTGTAGTCACAGATGCCCTGTGTGTCAGTCTTGAAGAGGTGCTTGGTGGGCCGCTTCTGAATGACTGTAGCTACTGCAGGCCAGACTAGGTCTTCTCCTTCCTGAGCAGGTGCTCCATCTGACCTCCAGGATTGGAACAGTATCTGGAAACACTTCTATCCCAGCATATTTCCTTCCCTGGTGTGTCCCTGAAGTTGAAAACTCACTTTCAGAGAGCCACTCTTTTGTAATGAGGCTTTGCCATTTCTCAAATCCTCGTTTTAAATGTACCCACTCAAAAACAAAAGCGAACCCCAAATCTGCAGAGTCCTGCGCTTCATCCTTCGCACGCATGAGGCAGGAGCTCTGCACTGCAGGGCGAGGGCCCAGGTTACCTGGCTGGACACAAACACGCAGCAGGGGAAGGCGTGACTGGGTAGGCTCTGCCGCCTCTGTGTCTCTCTAAAAGTCTGCTCAGGCTTCAGGCCAGGCTGTCACGTTCCTCTACCCATCGCCTGGTGAGCCCCTGGCATGCGCTGGGAGCAGGGGACCTTTGTGCCGCTGGAAAGCTTCCTGGGGCAGCAGCAACAGCCACCAAAAAATGGTCAAATTTTTTACTTCCCAGTGACTTCCTCCTGATATGGAATGTGTTTAAAATTTTCTTGAACGTTGCCTCAAGTCTAATAAAACATGCAGGACCTTGTTTACAAAGGCTGAGCCTTCCACCCGGCTCTGCTTGCGTGGCGGACGGTTTGCTTCCTTTGGACGATGAGTCCGGCTTGCCGTGAGAGACCGCACATTCTGCTTCCCAGGCAGATGATGGCTAACGCCACACGGCAGCTCCTAACAGGGTAACCAGCCTGTGCTCCGTGAACACCTCCCCTGCAGGGCTTGATCGATCAAAGCCTGAGGCGTGTGAAGCCCTGAGTATTTCCCCCTGGGGTACAGCACAAAAGCTCATGTCACTGCATGTGCCTGCTGTCTTAGGAAGCAAATAGTTATTTCACTTCTGCTAAGAGGGAAGAGGGAGAAGGAACGTGGGAGAAAGGAACCAGGAGAGGGAAAGACAGAAATGCTAATGCACGTGTGGCAGGTGCAGGGAGCTGTACTCAACCCGGAAAAGCAGAATGCGGTGCATATGAGAAAGAAACCACACAATCACTCTTTTGAATTCAGATATTAATGAGAGTAACTGAAAAGGGGAGTTAGGGGGAGAGGAAAATGGAGACAAGATTTCTCAGAAGCTGAGAAAGACGGTTGTGGAGGGGAAGTTCCATTCTCTGCGTCAAAGGTATAAAATTAATAAATAAAAAGCCTTCCTTCCCTTTATTGTTCAGGGATATTTCTTCCACCAAATTGCAGGCCCTGCCGAGCCACGGACTGGAGTCCATTCAGACGCTAATCGCCACATCATCCTATTCTCTAAAAAAATTGCCATCGAGAGAAAAATTTACCAATCTCCTGGACGCCACGCTGACTTACCCCAGCCACTGCTGTGCTTTTAGGAACTTGCCAACCAAAGAGTAAGTAAAAACCAAAGGGAAAGCCCGCCCAGCTGTGGCAGAATCTCAAAACTAGGCACCTGTAGGCAGCTCTCCGCCCTTTCGCTCCTGGCCTTCCCGGCCAACTCTATAGCTCTAGGGTCACTTTCACATAGACCAAAACAAACCAACCAAAATTACTGTCCTGTTTCCTTAAGAAAAGTGCTGTCAAATGGTTGATTCACCCTGCAGCTAAATGACCTCTGCAGCTCCTTCTGGCTTAGCAGTTGCAAAATGGAGTAAAAAACTGGTATCTCAAAGATCACTTAGTTCTAGTCCTTAACAGCGATTTAAGGAAGTGGGAGAATTAGGCTCAAGAGGGTAAAACAAAAATACTTTAGTCAGGGGTTTTATCAAAAAATGGTTTTTCTCCCAAAAGAAGAGCATCTTTAATTTCAAATCAGAATCCTAGCTCCCTAAGGATTAGCTTATGCTTTTCCTTTGTGTGCTGGGCATGGAGCCCAGGCCGTGCGTGCTAGACAAGCACCTGTGCTACAGCCACAGCCTGAGGGTCCACTTAGTACGCAAGCAGAAGGGGCAGGAGTTCCTGCCGGGTGTGTGTCCAGCAGAAAGAATCTCGCTGACTCGCCTCACTCCAGAACGAGTGGCAGGTGGCGGATGTCCTTCCCTCTCTGGAGCATGTTTTCTAGATTCTTTTGTCTGAGATGCATAGTAAGAAACACCTGTTTGGCATTCTTGTAACTGAAACATAGTAACCCAGTATTTAACTTTTAAAAGGTGTGATACACCCTGTCCTGTCCGTTCCACTGCATTCTGATTCATGCTTGTCTCCGCGGCCAGTCTGGACACACCCTATGGTTTTCCCGACCCACAGAGTCACAGCTCACAGCAGGAAAAGCACCGAAGGGCCTTTACCTCCGCCTGCCGAGACGTTCTCAATCAGCCCATTAGATAAGGCACTGAGAACGTGATTCCGAGCCGCTGCTGTCCCTCTCTGGAATCAACCCATTTATAACTAATCAGCCAGCACGTATTACCTGTGCCATGCGTAGAGAAACTCACTTCTCCCTGAAGATCGGGGGGAGCTGAGGAGACAAAACACTTCTGTGTTCGGAGTCACGCACCCATCACTGAGCTTTAAAGACTGTTTACTGAGCACTTAGCATGTTCCAGACATTGTGCCCGGTCTGCAGGTGGCAAGATAGGAGGCGCTCCTCCCAGCCCTCCGAGAGGAGGCAGCGGGACAGCGGGTACCTGTGCTGCACGCAGCCGCGGCGCCGCAGTTGAGAGCGGGCAGAGCGCTCCACAGGCGTACGGGAAGCTTTTCCATGGCACCGGGGTTTGGAAGGCTTCCTACAGGAGGAGGTGGGAGGGCAGGCGTGGGCAGGAGCGTGGCACGGGGACGGAGCGGCTCTTGTGAAAGCGCTGAGGCTTCAGATACTACACGGACGTCCCCAGAAACACCGGAACACACTCGTGAGTGTGTGGAGGGAGAGGAGCCCGGAGGGGAAGCCTGGGAGAAGCGGACCGTGAGGGCTGGACCAGCTCCAGGTGTGAGGCCACGGGGAGCCACGGAGAATTTAAAAGGACATCACTAACGTATATGAGGCCCGGGGCATGGGGGGCAGCAACAGCAAGCCACTTGGAGCGAGATCACGCGATTTGCCATGGAAATTATCAGCCTGGCCCCAGGGTCATGGGTGGTCCAGAAGTAAGCAAAGCTGGTGACAGACGTGACGATTCTTGATAAAGTGGATCCTACACTTGTAAAGAGGCCACTTCCCTTCTGAAATTACGCAGGTGGAAAATTATCATTCAAGACTTTTTCATCTAGTAGATGCAAGAGACTACTTCTAGCTAGGAAAGAAAGAACTGTGCAGTTATGGGCCCGGGTCAGAGTGAGACCGGAAGAGGGAATGCAGTTACCCAGAGGTTATCCTGACGGGGGCTGCAGCTTTCACTGACTCCCCCGTGTCCCTAAAGCTCAAGACCTTGGATGCCAGTGAAGATGAACAGCCCCCAGCTGGGCCTGTGGAATGTTTACACAAACTTTCCATCGCCCCTCCCCTGGCAGATATACACTGCTGCCTGGACACCCAGCCCCCGGGACTTCCCTGGCATCTGTGATAACATTCCAAAAAAGGCAGAGTGAAAAGAACCCAGTGTTATCATTAGAAGGCCAACAACATCCGTATTTCCTGTTGTCCGTGAGTTTATCTACACACAATAAGCCTGTGTCAGATACGGAGCCCGCAGTACACACACAACACATTTTGGTCCAAGTTTATTAATTTTTGAAAGTCCAGTAGGTCAAGTTGCTCTGACACGTTCCCCACCTTTCCGATCTTGTGCGAAGTTTTTCCTGCCAGAACTGTCTCGCTGATATCGGAGGAGAACCACAGAGAACGTCCCGACGGAACTGTTTGTTTCTCCTTCCTCCTCAGCAAAAGCCGAGGCTTTCGCAGCTGCTGTGCTCTGCCCTAGTTCTCCTCATTTTTGTACCTGCCTTAGGTTTTTCATCCCTAGATTAAAACTCCCTCAGGCAAGCTCAGGCGTGCTTTTATTTTCTGTCCCCCACCCCCCATAAGCTAAACTTGAGGCAAAGATGGCAGCGTCGAGAGCTCCCATCCGTGTTCCTGGGCATAAGCAAAAAGACCTAAAATTCACAGCATGATGTGCTACCCAGCATCTGCAAATCCTTACGAAAGAGTCCCGGTTTCTATTCAAAGCCATGGACTCCGTATGATTGTTAATCAAGGCCAACAGGGAGGGGAGCGTGGAAAGGAGCAAACTTTAATACACAAGAAAGGGAGCTTTTAATAAGCATTGAAAAATCCACGATTCAGTGTGACAAATTTAAGTTTTTCATCTCGAGAGCCCACACAGAACACTTGGCATTCTGAAGCCCTCTGTGTAAGCTGGAAGCACTCTGCTGATGATTCACAAGGCTTCCCTCGCCCCTCAGGAAGCATTTCAGCTAGGACAATGGTGCGGGGCCCAGCGCTGCCCGGGGAATAGGTGAAGAATCTAGATGAACAAAGCATACATAGACACGATCAGGTTTAAAGAATGAAAGCTCAACTGTGGTTTTTTTTTTTTTTTTTACTTCTCTTTCAGACAGAATTTTTCATTTCCTATTTTTGAAAATTTTTCCAAACAATGTGAAAGCACAGCAAGAAGACCAAATAATGAAACACTGTAAGTATTCGCATGCAAAGAAACTCAGGAATTTATATTTTGTTCTGTGTGCACTTTATTATTTTCAGTGCCAGTAATTTTCTTCTGATAAAAGTCTTGGCTAGGAGGATCTTTGCAAGGTATTTTTTAATAGTTTGAAATGGGAATTTACATCTAGTTATATGGGTATATTTTTCAGCTTTTCTTTTCTTAAAAAACAAAAGAAAAATTCTTTTTAAAATGTACTTAAATGTCCATTCTACAGTTATATTAAATTCTAAAGAAATTATATTATTTGCAAATATTTGACTATCACCAAACGTGGGTCTAAATGGTAGCTTTACTTGTAAGAATCTTTTTTTTTTTTTTTTTGGTTTTTTTCCGGTACCGGGAATCGAACTCATGACCTTGTGCTTGCCAGGCAGGTGCTGTGCTGCTGAGCTAAATCCCCAGCCCCTAACTTGTAAGAATCTTAACTAATCACATGATCAGCAATCCACAAATAGTAACTGATCTCAAAGTCCTTAGAATTTGCCATTTCCCTTCAAAGAGGCTAAGGCCACCCTGACCGTGATGCTCCAGAGTTCACAAATAATCTGAATGCCGTCACCGTCATGCCCTGGATAGAAGCTATATTTCAGTTCTGCTGACTAATGTTCAACATTTTCCCTCCTTTAAATGCTGGCTGCTTTGACAGTTCACTTACCTGCTATCATAGAAGAGCACACTTCAAAATAATCAGTGCCCCATTCCACATTTACTGAGAGTCAGAAATTTTGTTATTCTTCCTATGTGTGCTTAAAACTACAAAACCAAATGGCCCTCTAAGATCCCTTGCCAATTTCTTTTATCTCCTCCCCTCATCTCTGAGTTATACAGACATAGCAAGGGTTATGGTAGAAAGACCCTGGACTTTGGAGCTCCTTGGAGCTGGATATGAACCCTGGGTGGTAACATCCCTGTTGCCTTTTTGAGACTTTTTTCTCCATCTATAAGGAAGAGCAGAAATAGCACTTGGCTCTCAGAACCCTGAGAGTGGAGGAGTTCTTAAAGAGGGTGGGTGTTCCTGTCTCCTCTTCCTCTTCTTTGACTCTGACACTATCTATCCTCCAGTTTCTTCTCTACACCCTTTCCACTCCTCTCTTTATGTCCTATATGCTTTATAGTCACCAGCAGGAACAGTCGATGGTAACAGTTCTGGGGACAGTCAGTGTAACACCACAGGGCGGCTTTCAGGGGAAGAGGGACTGCAGCTCACCCTCGACAGTCCTCATCAGCCCCTGCCCCAAGCCTTTCCAAAGGAGCCTTCCCCGGAGTGTGCTATGCTAACACCGCTGTAACCCAAGTTCCCTAATCTCTAGCATCCCCAGACTATCTGAAATTAATATATATTCTAAGTTAAGTGGTTCCCTATGAAGTTATGTATGTACTCAGCTCTACTGAAAAAACAATTAATTTGGTTTGGCAATAGTTCTGAAAATGTATTTTTAAAATCCTGAGAACAAAATGGCTCTCTGGGAAAGCATTTTCTTATAAATCCCCTACCTCCTATTTCCCACCAGAGAGCCATTCCTGAGCCCCTAGAGCTTAAAAATTCTATAACCAGCCACCAAGCCTTACCTGTGTACCGCAAGCTGACATGGTGTCTCTCACACTAGGGCTGTCCTATCATCCTCCTAAAATTGTCGTCTTTCTTCTTTCTCTGACTGGAGCAGTGGTGCTGCTACTTCTGCTTCTGTTAGGCCCTGTGAGTCCATTCACACCACTGTCATAGCCTCCGGTAGTAAAGATTTCTCCTGCTGGGCTTTGTCAATAGGCACCATGCTGCCCTCAGGAGCCATCCCAGGACACAAGAGGAAGTAGAATCAGGTGGGTATTCAGTCTGAAGACCAAGCACCAAGGAGAAAAACTGTTAGACATATGCCTCTTAGGGAAGAAGGAGAAAGGGCAAAAGACCAAGGGAGAAGAAGGGTGGGAACACATTTATTGACTTAAATTCACCCAGAAACCATGGCAAAAGATTTAGAAGTTTCAAATTAGTGCTTCTAGCAGGTGAAATGTTTTGATTAGAGGAAAGAGGTACAGGAAATCAAGGCAGCAACAGTTGGAACATTTTTATCTGATTTTTGACTATTTTATATGAATCATCCAAAGAATTTTCTTAAAAATGCAGGTTTCTGGGCTCTCTCTGTCCCTAGAGATTTGAAATCAGTACAACTTGGGATAAAGCCGGAAATCTGCATTTTAACAAACACCGTAGTGGTTCTGAAGGAGGGGGTCCAAGGACCACGCTTTGAAGAGCACTGACTGACAAACAGGAAAGCATAAAGGAAAAGTTTCTGAGCTGTGGATGGGGAGACCTCATGCTGTAACCGTTTCCCTGGCAGACTTTGCGCAAGTTTCTCATGGTCTTTAATCCTGGTTTCCTTACTAATAAAGTAAGCATTCAATGAGATGGTCTGTAAGCATCTAATGCTGAGAATGCTCTATTTCTCTAACAGTTCCTTATAACCACCTTCTTTTTTTAAAGACCAAAATAGTAATTGGTATCTGTGATATGAAGACAAATCTGTTTGCAAAGATACTGTATTTAATAACCAAATGGATGGGGTACCTAGGTGTTCTGTATATAGATAACACCAGACCTTCTCTAGTTCCAAAGTTGGCCCTACACTATCTTAACATCTTTTTGGAGTCCTAAGTCACTGGTTTTGCCTTCTTTAAAAAATTGTGGGGTTTCCCCTTAGGTATTCTATTCCACCCATTAAATTAGGTACACACCTAATACAGAATTTGAGAAGTCTTGCGAGTTGGGAAAAATATGTTTTTACTTTAAAAAATAAAAGAACGAGAACATATTAACAAACACACATACATTTACAAAATAACACAAGAGCAATACAAGCAATACTGAAATTCAGACAAAGTGATAAGAAATTAACAATGGTTGTTGTATTACACATTGATTTCTTCAAAGAGGTTACTCAGGAAAACAAATATAGACACGTAAGATTGGTCAAACAATTAATCATTAACTGTTCCTTTCAATAAAGCAATAAAAGTCAGTAGTACAACTATGTTAGCTCTCGTGCATATACATATATACATAATTTTCCCCTTCTTTTCTCTTTTGGGAAAAATATTTTAATGTAAGGAGCTCCACAGTTAAATATATATTTGTAACGGCCTTCACAGGGGAGCTGCACCTATTTCCCAAGCTCCCGAGATTATGTTAGCAGAGAAGGGTCAAAGAGAAATTTGCTGAGCCTACAGCGTCATACAGAACATGCAAACATGCACATGGTCCCTGTAGCCCGTCACTTCCTGTCAGATCCAGGATCATCCTTCCTGACACAAACATTTATCAAGTGGACACTCTGAGGCAAAACTGTGCTAGGCACTTTGATTTCAGAAGTAAGTAAGAACTAAGCCCTTGTCTTCAGGATACTAAGAGACTGTTAAAGCAGACAGATATTTATCATCCATTAATTGCAAGGTTCTGATCACTGCAGTGGTACTAAATGCAGCCCTAGCAGACAGGAAGGATAGTAAATTTCTTGGGGAGTAGAATCAAGAAAGGATTCAGGGCAACTTGTCCTTAAGGATGAGGAAGAATTCACCAGACATATGGAGAAAGAAAATAGCCAGGTAAAAGAAAAATATACAAAGGCAGAGGAGCAGAGCAACAGAACTTCGTCCAGAGAACTACAACTTGTTTAATAGGATCAAATGGAAAGTTGTACGAGATTTGCAAGCAGTAATGCATGCATTAAAGCCTTTAGTTCCTAGCCTAACCCTAACAAGGAAGGTGTGGGCCTTTTATCTGGCATATGGGGACCTTGAGGTACAAAGATGCCAACTTACATCCCAGCTTTCTGCAGTCTGCAAGCAGCTGTGCCAGGACTAGAGCCGGCAGGCTCACTCTAAAGCCTGCGTCTTAAATCGTGAAGCTCTGCTGCTCCTTTGACTTCAGACTAGAGGCAGCAGAACCCAGACCAAGGAGGCCCATGGGGGCCATCAGGAGGAGTCTGGATTTTACCTCACAGCCACTGAAAACGTAGGGAAGGTTTGAGCTGGATACGTAAAATTCCCAATGTGTGTTTAGGAGCGGTCATTCCCAGGGGAAAACACCAGTAGAAATGAGGAGATGGCTGAAAGCGGAGAAAGGATCTCAAGAAAACTCATGTAATTTCCCCATAAGAGAAGACGACAGTGTGAACTCGGGGAGCAGCTGTGAGGCCGGCGGGGAGGGGCAGAGGAGGCAGTTCCTTCCACAGGCGCAGTCTCTGACCTACGCCTCCGATGGGCATCTACTTCCATCATTTCTGTCCATTGTGTATGTCTGTTCTAACTCTGCTTCTAGGTTTCCAGCAGTCTGTCTTTGATTTCTGTTTCTCAGTCAGGCTGCTTGATTAGCCAGGGACTTAAACACAAACCAGTCCACTCACAGTCACGTCTTAACGCAGGCCTTCCGATCCCACGTGTGCACTGCTGCAAACCGCTTGGTAGCAGGTTGGTTGGCAACTACATGAGGTAAACAACACATAAGAAAACGCCAAGACAGGATGCTTTTAGGTGTAGCAAGTGTGTATTGTATCTCTGCATTTGTTTTCCAAAGAAAACCGTCCCCCATAAATAGTTTCATTGTCTTTGCGTCAGCATGTTAGACAGATACATATCGTAGAGTCTAAGAGGCTTTTCATTCCCTTCTTAAGGAGCTCCATCAGATCAGATAGTTTAACAAATAACCATAAGGCTGAGGCTGTTGTGGCTTTGTATACTTTTGTTTATTGGGCATTGAAAAGATACTAAAGATGATTATTGAATTTTTTTTATTTTAAAGAGTGAAAGAAGGATAACATAGTAATAGGGGAGCTTACTGAATTACAGACAAAGTAGTAGGAAATTATCAATGGTTGTTGTTTTACATATTGTTATCTACAAGATAATTTCTCAGGAAAACAAATGGACGAATAATAGTGAGTTACAGACAAAAGTGGTAGGAGATTATCAATGGTTGTTATACTATACTTTGGTATCTTCAAAGTGGTTTCTAAAGAAAACAAATAGAGCTTTACATGAGTGACCAATTGAATAATCATTGACTATTCTCAATAGTTGTTGTAGGAAACACATAGTAATAAACATACATCCATTTATGAAATAGCATAGGAACAATACAAACATTACAGAGTTATGGACAGATTAGTAGGAAAATATCAATGGCTGCTGTAATACATGGTGGTATCTTCAAAGTGGTTTCTCAGGAAGACAGAGATAAGCAAGAAAGATCTAACAAGTAGTTACAGCCTAAGGGTTGTGAAAAATAGTGTATTACCTCCTCACCAGTGACTCCTTTGATTATTGAATTTTTTAATACTCAGAATCTCAAGTTTACATCAAGCCAATATTCTTCTTACAGTTTTTCTGCCATCTTTGCTGAAAGTGAACTGAGTGGCTGGGACTATGATTATGGTTTCTGCTCACCCAAGACACTGCGATGTGCTCCGGAGCCAGATGCTTTTAACCCCTGTGAAGACATTATGGGCTATGACTTCCTCAGGGTCCTGATTTGGCTGATTAACGTCCTGGCCATCATGGGAAACCTGACTGTCCTCCTCGTGCTCCTGACCAGTCGTTACAAACTGACAGTGCCTCGTTTCCTTATGTGCAATCTCTCCTTTGCAGACTTCTGCATGGGGCTCTATCTGTTGCTCATTGCCTCAGTTGATTCCCAAACAAGGGGCCAGTACTACAACTATGCCATAGATTGGCAGACAGGGAGTGGGTGTAGTGCTGCTGGTTTTTTCACCGTGTTTGCAAGTGAACTTTCCGTCTACACCCTCACAGTCATCACGCTAGAGAGATGGCACACCATCACCTACGCTGTTCAGCTGGACCAAAAGCTGCGATTGAGACACGCCATTCCAATTATGCTTGGAGGATGGCTCTTTTCAACTCTCATTGCCATGCTGCCCCTGGTGGGTGTCAGCAGCTACATGAAGGTCAGCATCTGCCTTCCTATGGATGTGGAAACCACGGTCTCACAAGTCTACATATTGACCATCCTGATATTCAATGTGGCAGCCTTCATCATCATTTGTGCCTGCTACATTAAAATTTATTTTGCAGTTCAGAATCCAGAGCTGATGGCTACCAACAAGGATACCAAGATCGCTAAGAAAATGGCGGTCCTCATCTTCACTGACTTCACCTGCATGGCGCCCATCTCTTTTTTTGCCATCTCAGCCGCCTTCAAAGTGCCTCTTATCACCGTAACCAACTCCAAAGTTTTACTGGTTCTCTTTTATCCTGTTAATTCTTGTGCCAATCCATTTCTATATGCAGTTTTCACAAAAGCATTCCGAAGGGATTTCTTTCTGTTGCTGAGCAAATTTGGCTGCTGTAAACATCGGGCTGAACATTATAGAAGGAAAGAATTTTCTGCTTACAACATCAACTGCAAAAATGGCTTCACTGGATCAAATAAGCCTTCTCAGTCCACCTTGAAGTTATCCACATTGCACTGTCAATATTCAGCTGTCCTAGACAACACTTGCTACCAAAAGTGTTAAGTATTATATCAGTAACTGTATTATTGAATTATACTTTAAAACATTACCTATACTAGTAACTTAAATATAAATAGTTGGTTTTAAGAAAGGATTCCTTTTAAGTACATTTAGTAAGAGATTTTACCTAGTTCAAAGAGTTGTCCAAGACCGTTGCCCATCTATTTTTCATTTGTACATAGTGACATAAAATTTTGAAGTTGATAGTGTTTAGAAATTTTTATAAGTTTTCACAGAGTAATCTTATATTTGGTGAATCTAATAAATAGAAAGTTGTCAAGCATGATGACATTTGCCTGTAATTCCAGTTACTCAGGAGCCAGAGGCAGAGATCCCACATTTGAAGCCAGTATGGAAAACTTAGGGAGACTCCTTCTCAAAACAAAACAAAACAACAGGACCAGTGATGAAGCTTAGTGGTAGAACACTGGGTTCTGGGGTCTGAATATCTTTGACTTTTTTTCATTTCATTTTTATTGCATTCTACAAAAATAGTAGTTTATAGCAGATTGGAAATTTAAAGTAACTGGTCTTTTTCCTCAGTTTGAGAAATACACTCAAGAAATGCACTGTATAATCTGGTAGCCACTAGCCATGTGCGGCTAAATTAAGGTTAAATAAAATGAAAAATGTCATTTCTTAGCTACACTAGCATATTTCAATGTGTAATTTACTGGCATCTGTGACAATAATTATCACACTGGAGAGCTCAGATGTAGAGAGTTCTGTTGGGTAACACTATTCTAGAGACTTCCATCTATCTCCTGTCTAGAGTCTGCTTATTTAAAATGTAACCTAAAGTAAACAGCTAACATAAATTTCAGCCTGTCAGCTTGGTCTGGTGTTTCTCTTCTGAATAACAAGGAAATATTACATTGCACACTGCAAACTTTTTATGGGTAGGGCTCCTATCTCTGCTCATTTTGTTTCCTGATCTCCTACTGCAAGATCTTGGTAATAAAACACAACAAATGTACCAAACTGCTCTGAAGGTACAAAATTTATGAGGAAACATAATTTTTTAGGATATTATATTTTAAGTGAAAAAAACTAAATATTCAAAAATAATTAACTTTCATCATTTCTACTCTTTGCAAGTTACTGAAAAATACATTTTATATTGTTAGGAAGTATTTTTACTTAGAATTGGCTCTTGCAGAACATCAAACTATGCTTTTAATTGCATTGTTTTTAATACTCTTTTGATTTTTTAAAGTAATTTTTATTGAAAGCTCATTATGTCCCAAACATCTTGATAGTGCTGTTATATAATTTACCCTACTAAATCTTCATAAAGCTATTATATAGCTATTATTCATGTTATATAGGTGAAAAAAACCTATTACATCTTGTCACAGTTCTCAAAACCAATAAAAGATTCAACTAATACAATCAAAACTCAAAGTTCTACTTCAGTGCCAGCCTCTTAATCTCTGTGTTTTGTTGATTCCCATTTGGCAAATCATAGTCATCCACAGATTTAGTATGCATTGAAAGTTCCTTCAAATTTCCCAAACATTTTATGATAAACATTTTCAAATATAGAAAACACCAGCACTCATATTAATAAAGATTATATATTTACATTTTTAGGTAAGATTTACACCTGGTGAAATGGACAGATCTCAAATGTACCATGCAAGGAGGTTAATGCATTGCATATAGGTATCTTATTTAACTCAACATCATAGACACTCATGTACTAGCCCTTAGATTCAACAATATTTTATACTAGCTTCAATACATGGCTATATGATTATCTATCCATCCATCAATTCATCCTATTTTATGTATTTCAAAGTAACTTGCAGACATCAGTGTTTGTCAGCCCTAAAACCCCAGCACTCATATTAACAAAGATTATATATTTACACTTTTAGGTAAGATTTACACATGGTGAAATGGACAGATCTTAAATGGACCATGCAAGGAGTTTTAAGAAATACATATACCCATGTCACCCAAACCTGTCAAGATTCAGACCACTATCACATCAGAAAGTTTCATCTGCTTTCCCAGTGGTAATAATGGATCCAAGTTTAGTCCCAGCAGATTAGTTCTGCCTGTTCTAGAGCTTCATCAATGGGATCATACAGTATATGCTCTTCTGTGTAAGGCTTATGTAACTCAACATAATATTCTTGCTATTCATCCATGTTACTGCTTGAGCTAGTTCATTCCTTTGACTGCTGATTAGTATTCCACTGTATGAGCGTAACACTGTCTCCATTTTCCTATTGAGGGATATCTGGGCTACCTTTAGCTCTCCTTCAACATTTTATTATGCAACATTTTATTAAACATAACTACACTCTACACATCTACTTTGCTTTCAAACATTATGCCATTGTGTAATTTTAAAAAGATTATAAGATTTACTAAACATCTCTTCTCTGTAACATTTCTGACTTTTCTTCTCCACAACCACTTTATTCAGACACAGTCCTCACCCTTGTAAGTTAGTGTTTTAGAATCTGCCTCAGCAGTGTGACAGAGTACTAACTCACATTGCTGTATAACTACATAATGCATTTTTTAAAGAGAAAAAAAAACAAAATTTCAAAACAAGATAAGAGAAGGGTAACAATGGTTAATGCATTGCATAAAATTAACCTTAAATTAGCTACTCAGAATATCTCCAAGCAATATTAGCACAACTTTTCTTTTCAATGAACTAAGAGGAATTAGTAGTATAACTATCTTAACTATCTTGTGTGTGTGTGTGTGTGTGTATTTTTTTCCTTTTTCCTTCTTTCTTTTCTTTCTCCTATCCCAGTTTCTCTTTTCTTTTGAACAGTTTCTTCCCTCTTTACAATATCTGTTGTACATTTTGTATCTTATTTATTCTTTTAGTTTCTCACACTAGGGAGACAATAGTGTTTACACATGTGTGTCTGATTTTTTCACTTATGAGTATGGTCTCTAGTTGCATCCATTTATCTATAAAAGTCTCCAGTCTCATCTTTCTATATGGTTGAGTGGTACTCCATTGTATAAAAAGACCAGATAGTTTTTATCCACTCCTCTATTAATGGGCATTTGAGTTGTTTCCAAGATGTAGCTACTATAAATTGTGCTGCTATAAACATGGGTGCACATATATCACTGTGGTATAATGTTTTTAATTCTTCTGGAAGCTATCCAGCAGGGAAATACCTGGGTCAAATGGGACCTCCAACCCTAGTTTTTTGAGAAATCTCCACACTGATTTCACAGTGGTTGCACCAGTCTACACTCCCACCAACAGTGGAGTAGGGTTCCTTTCTCCCCACAGCCCCTCTAGCATTTGTTCTTGGTTGATTTCTTGCTGATAGCCATTCTTTCTGAGGGAGGTGGAACCTCAGTGTTGTTTTAATTTGCATCTCTCAAATGACCAATGATGTTGAACATTTTTTCATATATTTGCTGTTTCTATTTCTTCATCTGAGAAATGTGTATTCATCTCAGATACCCATTTTTGGGTTGGGTCCTTAAATTTGTGGGGGGGTCTGATATTTTGAGTTCTTTATATGTTCTCAGTAGTAATCCTTTGTCTGAAGAACAACTGGAAAACATTTTTCCCCACATTGTGGGTTGTCTCTTCACTCTGTTGGTAGTTTCTCTTCTGTGCAATAGTTTTTTAGTAAGATGAGATTCCAGTTGTTGATTCTTTGTGATAGTTCCTGTGGGATCAGGGTTTTCTTCATAAAGTCTTTGCCTACGCCAATATCTTCAAGAGTTTTACCTATTCTACCTTCCAGCAGATTTAATGTTGTTTAAATATTTAGATCTTTGACCCATTTTGAATTTAGTTTAGTGCATGGTGAAAGATATGGGTCTAATTTTAATCTTTGGCATGTGCAGAGCCAATTTTTCCAGCACCATTTATTAAAGAGGCTGTCTCTCTTCCAGTGAATGTGTTTGGCAGCTGTCTCAACGATAAGGTGGCTGAGTGTGTCTGGAGTTGTTTCAGTTGTTTCTCCATCTTCTAATCTGTTCCATTGATCTTCAGGTCCTTTTCAGCCAGTACCATGCTGTTTTATCACAGTAGCTTTAGTATAATTTTAAGTCAGGGTTTGTGATGCCTCCTGCCTTGCCTTTGTTGCCCAAAATTGCCTTTACTCTTCTAGGTCTCTTCTGCTTCCAAATAAATTTTAAGATTGTTTTCTCTAATTTTATGAGGTATGCTATTGGTATTTTGATCAGGCTAGCATTAAATCTGTATAACAAATTTGGGAGTCTGGCCACTTCCACTATGTTTGTTCTTCCTACCCAAGAGCAAAGGATATTTTTCCATTTTTTGATATCCGCTTGTATCTCCTTTTCCACAGTACTGTAGTTTTCAATGTAGAGATCTTTTACATCCTTCATTAAATTGATTTCTAGGTATTTCATTTTTGGGGGATGCTACTGTGAAAGGTGTTGTTTCCCTAATTTCTCTCTCAGTGAGATTGTTATTTATGTGAAGTCAGGCTTTTGATTTTTGAGTGTTGACTTTGTATCCAGCTACACTACTGAATTTGCTTATTAAATCTATCAGTTTTTAGTGGAGTTTGGGGGTTTTCTATGTAGAGTATCATGTCATCTGCAAATAATGATAATTTAACTTCCTCCATTCCTATCTATATTCCTTTTATTTCTTTCTCTTCTCTAATCACTCTGGCTAGTTTCCAGGACTATGTTGAATAAGAGTGGAGACAGTGGACACCCTTACCTTGTTCCTGATTTTAGAGTGAAAGCTTTCAGGTTTTGTCCATTTAGTATGATGCTGGCTGTTGGTTTGTCATAGATGGCTTTTGTCAGATCGAGATAAAGACTATGTCTTCCAATTCTCTATAGGATTTTTATCATGAATGGGTGCATTTGTCAAATGCTTTTTTCTGCGTCTACTGAGATGATCATATGGTTTTTGTCCTTGGCTCTGTTGATATGGTATATTACATTTATTGCTTTACTTATGTTGAATCATCCCTGAATCCCTGGGATGAATCCCATTTAGTCATGGTGTACAAACTTCTTGATGATTTGCTGAATTGTTTGCCAGTATCTTATTGGGGATTTTTGCATTTATATTCATTAGAGAGATTGGCCTGTAGTTCTCATAGTTGGGTCCCTCTCCAGTTTTGGTATCAGGGTAATGCTTGCATCAAGGAATGAATCTGGGAGTATTGCTTCTCTTTCAATTTCATTAAACAGTTTGAGAAGTTGTGCTGTTAGGTCTTCCTCTAAATTTCTCATAGAATTCAGCAGTACATCTGTCAGGGCCTGGGCTTTTCTTTGTTGGTAGGTTTGTAATTATGTCTTTGATTTCACTGATTGATATTAGTTTCTTTAGGATTTTTATATCTTTTTTATTCAGCTTTCATAATTCATATGTATCTAGGAATCTGTTCATTTCTTCTGCATTTTCCATCTTATTAGAATACAAGTTTTCAAAGTAGGAGTAGATGATCTTCTGGATTTTTGCAGGGTCTACTGTGATTTCACCCTTTTCATTTCTAATTGTGTGGATTTGAATCTTTTCTTTCCTTTTTTTGATAAGGTTGCATAAGGGTTGGTTGATTTTAATCTTTCAAATAAGCAACTCTTTGATTCACTGATCCTTTGTATTGTTTTCTTAGTCTCCAATGTATTAATTTCTTCTCTGATCTTTATAATTTCCTCCCTTATATGAGCTTTTGGCTTAGCCTGCTCTTTTTCTAAAAGCTTGAGGTTCACCATTGTTTCTTTCCACTTGCTTTGTTTTCCTGATATGGGTATTTACTGCTATAAATTTTCCTCTTAGGACTGCTTTCATTGTGTCCTATAAGTTCCAGTATGTTGTACTGTCATTATCATTTACTTGTAGAGACTGTTTAATTTTTTCTTTAATTTCACCTGTAACCCATTGGTTGGTTATTCAGGAGGGTACTATTTAATTTCAATGTGTTTATGAAGTGCTTGTGGGTTTTTTGCCATTTATTTCTCATTTCATTGCACTATGGTGTGATAATACACATGGTACAGTTTTAATTCCTTTGCATTTATTCAAATATGTTCTATGAGCTACTATGTGGTCTATTTTGGAGAACATCCTGTGTGCAGCCAGAATGTGTATTCTGATGTTGTAAGGTGGAACACTCAGTAGACATCTACTAAGTCCATTTGTTCAAAAGGTGCTTCAGTTCTAATACATTGTTGATTTTTTTGTCTAGTTGATCTGGCTTTTTGTGACACTGAGGTATTGAGATTCCCCTAACACCACTGTATTAGTGCTTGATTTTTCATGTCTGTTAATATTTGTTTTATATAGCTGGGTGCACTGGTATTTGTTGCATGTATATTTATGATTGTTATCTCTTTCTCTTGGATTCTGTCCTTTACAAATATGTAGTGACCTTCTTTATCTCTCTTAATTATTCTTGGCTT